ATGCTAAATTCCCCAATTGAAATGAGAAATCCATTTTTGCCTATTTTATGAATCCCTGTAAATTTGCTCAGAGTAGACCAATTTATCTTATTAATTTAATGATGAGCGTCTCAGACCTGTCCCGTGAGTACATGGCTTTTATCCACTTAACCCCAGGCCCGATGCCTTTGGAAATTGGCTCGAGGTGAAGAGAGAGGTTAGAGATTTTGCGAAGATTAGTGCAGCTCTCATGCCGCTAGATAAAGGTTATCTTTTGCATTGGCACCAATCTGCAGATTACCCTGCCTATTAAATAAAGCAATGTGGATGATTTAAATGGGCACCCCGGTCCCAAACACTGCACGGGGTAGGAAAGGTCATTCAATATATATGGAAATGATTACTGTTGTCTGTGAATATGGCTACAGCTTGGATAGGTTTCAGGAATGAGAATGAAAGGTAACGATTACAAAGTAGGTCTGTGGTAAAGTGTCCCTTTTTTATATTTAAAAAAGGTTTCCTTATTCCACCTCTTCTGCAAACTGTCTCAATGCAGTCTGAAGTTTTCAGTCTCAGTTTCAAGGTGTTCAATCTTACTCAGCCTTGTGTGCGATGATGAGTCTTTGTTGAGGTGAATCACTGAGCAAGGTCAGTGTGGGATTACTCGCTTCCTCACAGGTTCTACAAACAAGTCTATGACTGAAACATGGTGATACTACGTTGACTACGTTTAGTGAAGGACCTGCACTAGTGTTTCTATTTAAAGGTCCCCTATTATTCTCTTTTTCATCAATATATTAAAGGTCTCAGATATAAACAAAACATGTCTCTGAAGTGTTCGGCTCCAAATACCAAACAGATCATTGCAGCGCGCCCATAATCCCCCTCTGTTTCAGCCCTGTTTCAAAAGTGCTGATCCGTGTCTGTTACTTTAGATGAAAATAAGGAGCCCCTCCCCACGCCCCTCTGAGAGATATTTGATTAAAAAGAACACAATGGTGCTCTAGGAGGAGATTCAGGTGATAAGGTGTGGGGTGGGGGGTGGTTACCTTGGTTGGTCATTGGCTAATGGTTACACAATCCATAAAATCATTATGACATCATAAAGTGGCCAGAATCTGATCAGCTCATTTTCAGACAGGTTTTTACATAAATGGATCAGAACAAAAAGGGAGGGGGTCTTTGTTCCTGAAACGTTAAGCATCTCTTTACACAGAGGGGACACATGTTTATGTATAAAAGACATGAAAAGAGGATTTTGCATAATAGGTGACCTTTAAAATAGAAATAAGAGGAACTGTGAGGGAAAAAACCTCACAGAAAGAGAGCGGTGTGAATCTGTGGTTGGACTCTATTTTGGTGCCCCGTTGAAAAGGAAGCAGCCCAGCTGTCAGAGTGGATTCCTACATGAGCGTAATCTCTGAGGACAGCGCAGTGGCAAGACTCTCACGGACACCCGCACACTAATGTATCCCAGACTCTTGAAACAAATGACCTAAATACTCACTGAATCAAGGCATTTGGCTGACAGAGCAGATGTAGTGTTACTTACACAGAGGTTAGTATTATTACAGCCTCCAACAAAGCCCATAAGCAGCACTGTTACACCAGTTAACGTCATGTATTTGTGCTGAGCACATCGGTCTGCTCCAAGAGAAGATTGTTTTTCCGTAGAGAGAGGGGGGGAAAAGACAGGAGTGACACAGAATATTCATCTGACTCACTTTCAATTTCAGGGCTTTGTGTTAGATTGTTTTTCTTAACGACTTCCCATTGATTCAATGCTCCGATATTTCAAAGCCAAATGAGGTCTTTGCAGCAGTGCGGGACAAGACAGACAGTTGCTCTTGTGGAATTAAAATTCATATAATGCTTTAATTAGCCAATGATTACTGTGAATTGAGTTTGTCAGTTGTAGTGCGTAATATTCTGCATAGCTATTAACCAGGGTCAAGGGATCATCAGCTATTTAGCTCCTGTCATTAAGCATGCATTAATTAAAGACTGGCGAACGCTTCCCATGCGAACACTCAGTGATCCTGCAACGCTGCGTTTTGACTCGAGCTTCTCTCACACCACTCACCTCTGCTAAAACTAATGGCCAAGCAAGAGACTGTCAGATCCTGAATGAGCTGGCCCTCAACCAGATGCAACAAAGCACCACAGGAACGCCCAGGCCCGCGGGGGGAGGAGGTCTCCAAGCAACAGCCAGCGGTGGCATGCACATTCAGCTATTGACTTAGCCTTTATCCACAGCCCTTGTGTGGTTGTCAGATCCCCTACAGCAATCTCTCTGCTGAGCGAGGGCCTCTGCCATGCCCGCTCATCTCTATCCTTCCATCATGTCGAAGTTATTATCACGGCTACAAACTCATCAGCCTCACAAGGGAGCGAGCACCTGCTTCTGTGAGAGATGTATGGAAATGCAATAGCCAGCCGTCTCTTGACTGTTGTGTCAGGGAAGCGTTGGAATAGTGTTGCGGTAATGGAAGTGTTACCTTGAGGTGTGTGTTTGTGGCACAGAAGTGTATACACCTAGGGGAGATTGCTTCAGCGTGAAGAGAATAAGCTGTGTATGTGATTCTGTCAACACAGGAAATGTTGAAAGTAATGTGTTGAGGGTTGACGAGGGCTCACAACAAGTTCAGCAGATATTTGTCAATTAGTCAGGGGCACACCGCCTAATTACAAGCCAAACAGGAATTGCTTGAAATGATTATGTTTATACAATATGTCGTCCGACCACATCTGAAGTGTTTATAGCTGTTCTAAGCAGCCAAAATCAAAGACCGGGTGAAAAGGCGGTAGTCAAAGACAGCAATGAGACGTGATACTCATTCAAATATAGGATTATGGTGTGGACTTTAAGGCAATCTTTCCTTCATACTCTCTTATATATATTCAACAACTGCCAGAAGTGATTTTGTGAAGAGTTAAAATATAGACCATGGGAGAGAAGTTTAATCTTTGCGTCCACACATCACATCTGCACGCCTGGCCGTTTGTAAAATTGAATTATACTTATGCTTTAAGGCTGCCTGTTCTCAGCAGGCATTCACAGAGTAAATGTTAGGTGGTGTTTCAGATGCATTGCAAACCCAGAGACTGTATTTTACAATTGTTGTGAAGGTACCCAAGGGTAATCTCTTGTATCTTCCGTCAAGGCAGTCACAAACGTATTTGTCTTTCAGATTTGGGTTATGGTAATTATATTAAAAGTATCAATCGCATCAATTGCTCCTTGGCTCTAAGTAAAATATTCATTCATCTGAAAAGGGCTTATAAATATTAATAATAACAATAACAATGCAGTTTGACGATTTCATTAGTTTGTCAGGGAACTCCTCTCACTATTTGAACTAACATTTCCTCAGTCAACAACAGCCTTTCAAGTAGGTCATTTATTGAACACAAATGTATTTTGGCAACCCGACGTCAAATCTCCAATCCCAGCAAAGGCATGATGGAAATATTGAATCCCTCTGCTTTAATTTAACTTTTATTAAATAACACAACAGAGGAATGTAGGAACAGCTGAATATGACCACCAGTTGTACTGCGGTTCACCCTCACTTTATATTGTTATGACAGGCTTTCCAAGCACAAGTAACTGCTGGCTATCACATGTCCACATCTGTCTCTGTGTGGCTATAAATCCTTGTATTTTGAGGTCATTTCCTGTAGATGGTTCAGATCTTTTTTTGCTCTCTCCGACCAAAATGCAACACAGTTTTGTTTGTTCCTGCCTAACGAATATTGTTATAATGTGAAAACACTATTTTACACTCCATTTGACAGCTTATACAGCAAACACCCTCAATGTGTTTGGTGGAAGTGATCAATTACTGCAGTACCAATTTAAATATTAGGTGTACAAAGTACTCCATATGCACAAACAATACCCTGTGTGGGCCCTTTACATTATTTGCTTTTGTTATTCTATTTTACTCTTACAAAAAATATTCTCTTTGTGCCTGGAACAACAAGTCTAGATTGGCGACGTCCTTATCGCCAGTGTATTCTTGAAGTAATTCCCCAGAGAAGAAGTAATCATAATTGGCTAATTAAAGAAGGCTTAAGAGAGGGGCAGTGTGGAAGAGTGGCAAAGTAGATTAGTGGAAATTTGCATGTGCTGATACTGAAAGAAGAAGGAAATGTCTAAAGTCTTACTTCTATTTATGGAGGATGATCTGTATTTTCGAGGGTATGCTTGGAGCCAGATGCTGCTTTTTAACAGTTTGCTGTTTGAGGTTATTTCACAGGAGATCTCTGTCTGAGATTATTGGTCTGAATAAAATAAATACAACCGCCTTTAGTGAAAGCAAACCCTGTGTGTGGGGAAGTTAGCTTACACACATTTGTAAGCACATCTGCCAGTAAGCTAAAGGTTGGCGATAAACACCATCCCTGGTAATTACATGAAATCATAGCGATTGTTCATTGTCCCGGGCTTTGTGATCTGGACATTGTCCTGGTCTCTTCATGGCTCTGTGCCAGCTCAGGGTCTTACCACAAACAACAATGGGGGAGGGAGCCCTTAATATGGAAATGGCATTAATTACTGAGCCTATACAACAGATGTGACCTTCAGCATAAATACTCATCTCATTATTAGAAAAACTCTTGAATATCAAATCATGTTTGCTCTTGTTGGCCTGTAAATATATTATTTTGCTCAAGACTTTCTTTCGATCCTTATTGAATTCCCAGTTATACGTTTTTAACTGGTTCACCGGCTTCAGTCACTCCAAACAGCAAGTAATGTTTCCTCCTTATCAACATTTTTTAAAAGATAATCTTAATCCTACTAAAATAGCCTTGAACTGAAAACCCTCAAACCTCCACGGCTTTAGCATTCCCTAAATCTCCATCATTAACTTGTCAGAAGCCGGCATTTACCGCCTGAGCTGCTCCTTCCCCCAAATCTCTGTCAGCCCTCTGGCAGTTAGAACACCAGGCTGTGGAGTCCAATGCTCTGTGCTGATTAACATATTAACGCAGCTTTTGTTTCAATTTTCTAGCGCTGGCCCCAAAGGAGACAACATCTATGAGTGGAGGTCGACCATCCTGGGACCGCCGGGCTCCGTGTACGAGGGAGGCGTCTTCTTCCTGGACATCGCCTTCACACCTGACTACCCCTTCAAACCCCCCAAGGTCAGCAGCAGCCAGTAGACATAACTGTGAAGATGTTTGAGTAGAGGACCAAGTATCAACATCCTGCACAGGGCCGAGAAACGCAATTTTGAATGATCTGAAAAATCTATGAAATGAAATTGTATTTACATTGCCCATTAGCACAAATTACACATTTATTTCAGGGGGCTTTCCAGTGTCTACAGCATAAGACCCCCTCTGTCTTTCCCAGCAGACAAAACTACTCTCACAAAAAGAGAACCCACAATTCATCGGGGGAAAATGGAAGAAGCCTAAATGAGAGCAACAGAGCAGGGATCCCTACTCGAGGACGAATAGATGTACAATAGATGTTGGGTGTATAGATAAAAAAAGATACAGCATAGATAACCCAAATAATAATGGAACAGTATCAATGTAGATGTCATAAAAACTTAAAAGTGCCTACACATATAACATACTTTATTGTCATTTATCGGCCCGATAATTATCGGTCCGATATTAGGAATTATGACGTCATCCCAATAAACCCGATAAAAGTATTAATAGCCCCGATAATATACAATATATCTTTTGGGTAAAAAAAAAAGAAAAAAATATTGCGGTGTGGGTGGATTGGGATGAGGGGCGCTTGTTTTTCACTCGGCTCCTCCCGTTTTGCCAGTACTGTGGTATTAGTGGTTTAGGAAGAGGGGAGTTTTTCACAAATCCAGCGCTCCCTAACTCATGCCTGGCTGTGACGTAAATGGTGTGCGGCCGTGAAGCCAGGACAGTAAACAAACATGTCGTCGGTAGTATGGGACTATTTCAAAGTTTCAGAGTTAGATAGTTCGCTTGCTATTTGTATTAACAAATGCAATGCAGAAGTTCCACGAGGAGGGAAAAAGGCAACGAGCTATANCTCCGTGGTGTCCGTTCGGTCGAGTCTCAGTACTTTATTGTCTATTATTCGGCCCGGACTAATTAATCGGTCCGGACTATTAAGGTAAGTTAATTAGTACGTACGTACACCTAACCTAAACCGAACCGTAAAAGTAATTAATTAGACCCGACCGTAATATACAATATATCTTTAGGTTAAAAAAGAAAAAAATATTGCGGTGTGGGTGGATTGGGATGAGGGGCGCTTGTTTTTCACTCGGCTCCTCCCGTTTTGCCAGTACTGTGGTATTAGTGGTTTAGGAAGAGGGGAGTTTTTCACAAATCCAGCGCTCCCTAACTCATGCCTGGCTGTGACGTAAATGGTGTGCGGCCGTGAAGCCAGGACAGTAAACAAACATGTCGTCGGTAGTATGGGACTATTTCAAAGTTTCAGAGTTAGATAGTTCGCTTGCTATTTGTATTAACAAATGCAATGCAGAAGTTCCACGAGGAGGGAAAAAGGCAACGAGCTATAATACTTCCAACCTGATTAGTCACCTGAAACATCGCCATCGCTACGATGGTGTGTTAAAAGCGTACGAAGACGCCTGCGCTGCTAAACTAGCGGCAAAACCAAAGCCAGCTGCAAAGGCACCGGGGCTTTTACCTATCGACGAGGCTTTTGAAAAAGGGAAGAAGTTTGCCAGAGATGACCCAACCCCCACCTACTAGTCTTTTTTTTTACCACCAGGCGTGCAAAAACTACAGGTCCATTTAATATATATACAGGACTGTCTCAGAAAATTAGAATATTGTGATAAAGTTCTTTATTTTCTGTAATGCAATTTAAAAAAACAAAAATGTCATACATTCTGGATTCATTACAAATCAACTGAAATAT